GTTTGATCACTGCCTTACAGATAACAAACAATGTTGAATCAATAACATTCACTAAACTTAAGTTGGCTGTTCCCTGGATGATTATTTTCTTAAAGTTTAAATTTCCCCAAATAAAATACTTGGTAGTCACAATTTTTAAAACTCTCTATGTGACAATATCATCCAACAAATGAACTCAAACTTCCAAAAAACAAAATTTTGGAAAATCTAGGAGCAAAATGTAGTTCCTGGGAATAGGGTTCACATAATTGCTCTTTGCTGATGCCAAACATTGCTTTAAATGGTAGTACCTGAGAGGTGCCACTTCTAAAAGTCTGAGAAATAGCCATGCAGACTGGCATCCCTTCTCCTAAAACTGCAGCTCAAAGAGACACTGCTGTCACTGAATAAACGCTCACACTAACAAATCAATGCTTAACTGCTTTGGACTTAATGGACTTAAAAGTCACTCAAAAAGCAGTTCGTAAAATTAATTTTATTCTCTCACACAGTTCATTTGATGCACTGGTTCTACTGTATTTTTCTACCATACGTCTGTTAAAGGTGTTCGCGCTGCACTACAGACACGTGTCAAAGCTCATCCCACACGTGCATCTGCCGTTGGAGTCTCAGTAGGCATTGTGAGCATGAGTCTTGGGCTCTCCTTGTACCCTTCCTTTACTGGACCTGGGCCTTGCTACTCTGCCTTCCCCTTTCAGCTCCCGAGTTAGCACCAACAGCCTCAGCTTGCGAAACTACATAGAATGTTTCTGGTACCAGCAACAACAAAAAGTGTCGCTGGAAACCACTTGATCTGTGGTACAGTGTTCGTTTACCTTCAAGAGAGCAAAGTGGAAAATGAGGTACTAAGAAACAAGTAGGGTAGGAGAAGATCAAGTATTTCTTTAAAATTTCATTTCAACTGCTAAGCTATAAGTTTAAATTACCTTAATAATAACATGATTTGGGAGACACTGTAAGTGATTAAAGAGTGATAAAGTATCAGCTCATACTTAAGGATTTTTTTAAAATAAAAGAATTTATCCCAATACATTATTTAATCAACAAAAGATTCACTCCAGAAAGACCAAGAAAAGGGGTGACACTGGAGGGTTCTGTGAAGCCTTAGGGCAGCACAGTTCTGGGATTTCCCCAAATGCTTCCATAAAAACTCAGAGCAAATAACAAGACCCAGGAATAATACTTCTACAAACCAGGCGTTTCGGGCCGGCGCCGCGGCTCACTAGGCTAATCCTCCACCTTGCGGTGCCGGCACACCGGGTTCTAGTCCTGGTCGGGGCGCCGGATTCCGTCCCAGTTGCCCCTCTTCCAGGCCAGCTCTCTGCTGTGGCCAGGGAGTGCAGAGGAGGATGGCCCAAGTACTTGGGCCCTGCACCCCATGGGAGACCAGAAGCACCTGGCTCCTGCCATCGGATCAGCGTGGTGTGCTGCCACAGCATGCCGGCCGCGGCGGCCATTGGAGGGTGAACCAACGGCAAAGGAAGACCTTTCTCTCTGTCTCTCTCTCTCTCACTATCCACTCTGCCTGTCAAAAAACAAAAACAAACAAAAAAACAAAAACAAAAAACTAGGTGTTTCCCAAAAAGCAAGTAGGTATTTTGACACTGATTCTGCTGTATGAGCAAGAACAATTCCAAACAATCATGGAAAATGGAATTAAAAGATAAACTTATTTTGGAGCAAAAAATTTTGTGATACAAAAACCTTTTTCACGATACACATTTCCATGAACTTTCTAAAGCACCCTCATCTAATGCAATAAACCAATGAGACAGATCAGGCTATTCTAATTCATCTAACTCATCTGCATCCGTGAGCGCCAGGGTTACTAGTAAGGAACAACATGGAGATATAATTTTTTTAAAAAGATTTATTGATTTATTTGAGAGGCAGAGTTACAGAGGTCTTCTATCTGCAGGTTCACTCCCCAAATGGCCTCAGCAGCCAGAGCTGGGACCATGCAAAGCCAGGAGCCAGTAGCTTCTTTTTGGTCTCCCATGTGGGTGCAAGGTCCAAGGACTTGGGCCATCTTCTACTGCTTTCCCAGGCCATAGCAGAGAGTTGGATGGGAAGTGGAGCAGCCAGGGCTCAAATCGGCACCCATATGGGATGCCGGCACCACAGGTGGAGGCTTAACCCACTATATCACAGCGCTGGCTCAAGAGATGAAACATTCAAGAGATCAGATAACCATTCCTCAGTCCTGAATTTGAACTGGAAATACAAGGATGAAATCTCTGTCTTTAAATACACACTTATTTTCTAGCCCCACTTACTTGATGATTAAAAATAATGATCAGAGGCGTGGGAAGTGTGGCACAGCAGGTTAAGCTGCCACGTTGCACAGCCACATTCCACATCAGAGGACCAGTCTGAGTTCTGGCTACTGTTTCTGATTCAGCTCCTTGCTAATGCACACAGGAAGCTCCAACACTTGGGTCCCTGTGACCCACGTGAAGGACCAGAATGGAGCTCTTGTCTCCTTGGTTTCAGCCTGGCCAAGCCCCCACTGTTTGAGCCATTTGGGAAGTGGACCAGCAGACAGAAGAGACCACAGTCTCTCTGTGTCACTCTACCTTTCAACTAAATAAGTCAGTTTAAAAAATAATAATGATCAGGAGTACGCGTTCAGCCCCGTGGTCAGGTCACCATCTATGATGTCCATCACGTATCGGACAGCCACCTTCGAGTCCCAGCTACTCTGCTTCTCATCCACACCCTGGGAGGCAGCAGAGGATGGCTAAGTGTTTGGGTCCCTGCAACCCAAAGGGGAAACCTGGCTTAAGTCCTGCTTCCTGGCTTTGGCCTGGTCCCACCCAGGCTATTGCAGGCATTTGGAGAGTGAACCAGCAGATGGAAGACCTCTCTCCATCTGTTTCTCTGCCTTTCAAATAAAAATAAAAATAAAAATTTTAAAATAATGATGACTATCCTTAGCACCCAGACTGTAATCTAGAAATATCATTTTTCCAAAGAAACCTGAACACTGAAAGAAATGGCTGGCTCAAGTCTGGGCAGAGAGGCCCAAGGTGAGCACCACACCTCTTAACATGTGGGACAGCAAGGAAGCTACAGGCTGCGCGGGTCATTTCAAAACGACTGGGCAATCTCAAAGAGGTTCCCACGGCAAAGACAGGACGACCTGAGCTTTGGGAAAGGAACTTTAATGACTAGAACCCATCAAATATGTTCAAATCCAAGAGATCAAAATGAAATGAAGGGGCTTGGCACTGTGAGGCGGCAGCCTGCAACAACAGTGTCCCTTATGAGTGCTGGTTTGATTCCTCGCTGCTTTACTTTCCAGCTCCCCGATGATGGCCTGGGAAGAGCAGTGGACGATGGCCCAGATGCTTAGGCCCCTGCCCCCAGGGGAGACCTGGAAAAAGCTCCCAACTCCTGGCTTTTTAATGGCCCAGCCCTGGCCATTGCGGACATCTGGGGAGTGAGCCAGGGGATGGAAGATCTCTGTCTGTCTGACTTTCAAATAAATAAATACATCTTAAAAAAAAAAAAAAAAAAAAAAAAAAAAAAAAAAAGTTGAGGGGTGGGAGGTTACTGAGAGAGGGGAGAAAGGAGGTTAATGACAGGAATGCGGCACACAGAGGGCTCTGAGGAGACCAGGAAAACCCTATTTCATGACCTGGAAGGTGGCTGCAGGCTGTTCACTGTGTTGTAAACCACTCAATTCACTCAATCCACTTTTTCACTTAACTCACTTTGCTTTTCACATAACTCATGATTTTGTGTTTTCTAATACAAAAGTATTTTGAAAGGGTAGCATGGCCTGTAAGGCTGACCAGCAGCTAGAGACAGGTAAGAAATTTGCTTCTTCAGAAGAGGTTAACCATAATCTCATCTTCACACGCCTGTATAACGCTCCTTTTCCTTAACAAAGTGTGCGTGTAGCCACTAAGATGACCAATCTAGCACGGCATGTTAAACAAAACCATTCCTGCAAACAGCAGTGTATTTCTTTAATATGCTTTGGCTGCCAAAATTATGAGATCACAGGAGGAATCATCCTCAGCCAAACGTCCATGCGGAAAAGCGGGTCAATGTTTAAATGGCACAGTTTAGGAATTAATCTGTGTTTATGAAAAAGACTAATTAAGCAAGCATTCCAAATGACGTTTCAGTCCACAGACTACAACAGGAAAACAGAAGTGGCAAGGCTCTCCAAGCTGTCCACCTGAGGTACCTGAGACTGCTGATAATCACTAAGGATCACCCGTCCTTGTTGCAGGGGCACTCATACCTCCAGTCTGTGTTTGCGCCTAAGCTTTCCAACACACATTGGGTTAGTATGATAAACGGATCCAAGCCAATCATAATTTAAATCAAGGAACAAGGATCTTTACATTAAAAAGTTCCCCACAAAACCTACTTTGGGAATCTAAATGAGAGAAATAAAACACCTGATCTTGCAAGTCTCTATACAACTTCATGAAATGGACTTTCCTAACCAGTGCCCGCTGAACAGAACATACCTTCTGATGTCAGCTTGGGAACAAGCACTTGCTAAAACTCTTACTAACTCTCAATACCTGTTCCCTATCCCTTTTAATCCGTAAAACCATTGGCATCTCATTTCACCATAATTTGTGCCGGTAGTTTTTCTTCTGCTTATAGAGGGGGCATCATGTAGTCAGGTGGTACTCACAGAATTACTGGAAAGTTGTTTTAATTTCCCTAAAATCTTCCCACATAGCAGATGTCAACTGTCTTTAAGCATGCACGCACACACATTCACATGAAAGGAGAAGATGCCAATACACAGTCTCTCTTCATGGGCTTTTAAAAAGCTTATCTGCAGTTAAACTTTAATGTAGTTAAAACCTTGTACAGTCTGCTGGGCAAAGCTGCTGTGATTTTCAAGCCTCTATGCACACACACGTGCACACACACGCACGCATGGACGCATGCACACACACACACACACACACTTTTGAAAGAATTGAGACCCACTGGGTTGTCTGCCTGTGGTGCCCCTGTGAGCTTACCATAACCGTGCAGTCCTCTGACCCGCTGGCAATGACCTGATCGTTATGTGGGCACCAGTCTATATCCAGCACTGGTCCTGTGTGGCCACATACTGTAGGGTAGGATTTGTCAATTCGACCAGTCTGAAAGGAGAGAGAGACAAAGATATCATGTAACATAAACACCACAGTCATTACATGCTTTCTTAGGCCTATTTTTCCTCGACAGCCTCCACCTAAGATTTGCAACTGTTTGTGTAACTTGACATTCATGAGTCAGTACCAACACAAGAACTGTCAATTCTCCTCAGAAACAGCTATTCCAAAGGACACTCCATCAAATCACCAGGATCCACGTTTCTAGAAATTGCTAAAACCACAGAGATTTTGTTTATTCAAGTCTATTAGTAGACTTAAGAAAACAGAAGCCAGCGCCGCGGCTCACTAGGCTAATCCTCCGCCTTGCGGCGCCGGCACACTGGGTTCTAGTCCCGGTTGGGGCGCCGGATTCTGTGCAGTGCAGTGGAGGATGGCCCAAGTGCTTGGGCCCTGCACCCCATGGGAGACCAGGATAAGTACCTGGCTCCTGCCTTCGGATCAGCGCGATGCGCCAGCTGCAGCGGCCATTGGAGGGTGAACCAACGGCAAAGGAAGACCTTTCTCTCTGTCTCTCTCACTGTCCACTCTGCCTATCAAAAAAATAAATAAATAAATAAATAAATAAAACAGAAATATCTTTTTACTAAAATACAGTACTATAATAGCCAAAATAGCCAAGTCTAGGTATGTTTTTATTGGGGGGAAAAACATTGTTTAAGATGTGAAATATAACTCAATAATACACTTGAATATACAAATGAACAATTCTAGAAATGAATGGCACTGTTAAAAGTAAAAAAAAAAAGTTATAGTAAAAAACAAAAAAGAAAAGCTTTAGTTATTGACTAGGAGTTATATTTTTCTTTTTTTTCTTTCTTTTTTTTTTTTTTAAAGATTATTTTGTTGAGAGACATAGAGACAGAGCAAGGCAGCAAACTGTTATCTATAGATATACTCCCCAGAAACCTGCAACAGCTGGGATTGGGCCAGGCCAAAGCAGGGAGGTGGGAACTCAATCCAGGTCTCCCACAGGGGTAACAAGAACTCAGTTACTTGAACAGCAAGTAATCTAGGAAGCTTGATTTAGGAGCTAGAGCCAGGAACTGAACCTGGGCACTCCATGTAATGTGAGCGCCTTAACAGCTAAGCTGGCCCACCCTACATACTACATTTTAATGTCTCGATCTCTGCTGTCTTTAATCAACAGAAATGTTAGTCAGTCTAATTAACATAAATTTGAACCATTAAGAATAAAATATTGTTAATATTGTTCATAAATAATCACCATAGGGACTGGCGCTGTGGCATAGTGGGTAAAGCCACTGCCTGCAGTGCCAGCATCCCATATGGGCGCTGGTTCGGGTTCCAGCTGCTCCACTTCTGATCCAGCTCTCTGCTATGGCCTGGGAAGGCAGTAGAAGATGGCCCAAGTCCTTGGGCCCCTGAATTCACATGGAAGAATGGAGGGGGCTCCTGCCTTCGGATCAGCACAACTCCAGCCATTGCAGCCATCCAGGAGTGAACCAGTGGATGGAAGACCTTTCTCTTTGTCTCTCTCTCTCTCCCCCTCTGCCTTTCAAATAAATAAACAAATAAATCTTTAAAAAATAAATCACCACAATTTGTTCACGTTACACATCTGAACAAGCCAGCTTGGCTTATCAGATCATTTGTGCATCAACTAAGACAACTGCTATTGTAACATCAGGTGTAAAGAACTATTTCCTTTTTTAAACAGGTTAGTATCAGCCCATGTTAAGGCTGCAAATGTTCTGAGAGCAGATGTGCAAAAATTGCTGCAATGTGTAACGGAACCCAGTTTCTGCTGTTATTCTCTTAATATGGCAAACTGTCCCAATACTGGGGCAGCCTTCTGGGCAGTTTTTCAAGATCAGTAAATCCTATGATTTCTCCAATTTGGCTCTGCCATGGTAATCTCAAGAAGTAGTATGCTGATGTGCTAAGACCACAGGCTCTAGGGCTTAAACAGTGGATGACCTTAGACAAGTCATGTAATCTCTCTAAGCTCTAGCTCATCATCTATGAAACATGGGAACAACTCTTATCTTCCAGGATTATGGTGGGTATTAAAATGGTATTGTCCCAGCACCTGACATGCCCAATAATATTTCCTAAAACTTAACAAACGTCAGAATATTCTCTGACATCTCTAATGTGTCTCATTTAAAAGAAGGCAGCTTTAAAAAAACCATGTGAGGGGGTTGGCACTGTGGCATAGCAGATAAAGTTGCCACTTACATTGCCAGCATACTGTGTGGATGCCAATTCAGGTCCCGGCAGCTCCAGTTCCAATCCAGCTCTCTGCTAGTGTGCCTGGGAAAGCTGTGGAGGATGATCCAGGTCCTTGGGCCCCTGCACCCAAGTGTGAGACCTGGAGGAGGCTCCAGGCTCCTGACTTCAGATTGGCCCAGCTCCAGCCATTGCGGCCATCTGGGGAGTGAACCAGCAGATGGAAGACCTCTCTCTGTCTCTCCCTCTGCCTCTCTGTAGCTCTACCTTTCAAATGAATAAATAAATCTTAAAAATCATGTGCGATGGTTATTTCCTTTAAAAATTTTGTTTATTTATTGGAAGGCAGAGTGACAGAGACAGAGAGAGAGAAAGAGATCTTCCATCTGCTGGTTTACTCCCTAAATCGCTGCAACAGCTGGGGCTGAGCCAGGCCAAAGGCAGGAACCAGGAACTCCATCCCAGTCTCCCATGCAGATGGCAGGAACTCATGTACTTCAGCTATCAGCAGCTGCTTCCCAGGCACTTTAGCAGGAAGCTGGATAAGAAGTAGAGTAGCTAGGACTCCAACCAGCTCTCCAATAGGGGATGCGAGCATCCCAAACGGCAGCTTCACCTGCAGTGCCACAATGCCAGCCCCTAGATGGTTATTCCACTTGTTCGCCTGGAGTTACTACACCAAGTAATGTTCTGTTGCTCAAGTTGGGAGGTGATGGGCTCAGGGATTCATTTTATGTAATTATTCATTATATTATTATTCAGACTGCAGATACAGTTACTGTTGAATATGTGATATCTCATAATTTATTTATTCATTTATTTATTTACTTGACAGGTAGAGTCATAGACAGTGAGAGAGAGAGACAGAGAGAAAGGTCTTCCTTCTGTTGGTTCACTTCCCAAATGGCCGCTATGGCCGGTGCTGCGCTGATCCGAAGCCAGGAGCCAGGTGCTTCTTCCTGGTCTCCCATGTGGGTGCAGGGGCCCACGCACTCAGGCCATCCTCCACTGCCCTCCCGGACCATAGCAGAGAGCTGGACTGGAAGAGGAGCAACCGGGACTAGAACCCGGAGCCCATATGGGATGCCAGTGCTGCAGGCAGAGGATTAACCAAGTGAGCCATGGCACCGGCCCTTGATATCTCATAATTTTTAAACAATCTAAGACAGGAAGGTCTGATATACATTTAAATAGGCATTCCAGAAAGAGAGAATAAAAAGAATGGAACAGAGGCAAAAATTAAAGCAATAATGGCTGAAGTTTTCCAAGCTTAGTTAAGGGCATATGGCTTAAGAGACACAAATCTCAAGTAGTATAAGTGAAAATAAACGCCTATCTATTCACACACCAGCACAATTTAATACCCAACACGAACAGAAAATCTTAAAGCAATCCACAGAAAGGACAGGTTCCCTACAGAGTGTGTAATTAGACTGTGAGCAGACTTCTCAAAAGCAATTATAGAAACAAAGAAACAGGGAAATATCTTGCAGATACCAAGAAAAACAATAAACCCTACATTTTATACCCAGATAAACTATCATCTAAGAATGATGGCATTAAAAAAAAAACCAGCAAACTAACAAGAGACAGAGAAACTTTACCATGTATCATGTATAGATATTTATTAAAAGAATTAAACTCTCGGATTTATCACAAAGATTTCAAAATTAATCTCAAAGAATTGTATTCAAGGAGTTCAGGAAAAGAAAGTGAGCTAGGAGAGGACTGGGCTACAAAGCAACAGTGAGCTCCCGAGGGGTAAATACAAATAGGTACTGACTGCGAAACATCAGTAACAGCGACCAGCTGGGGCACAGTGAAAACAGCAGAAATGCTACACAGCAAGAATGCACACCACAAACGGGCGAGAATCAGAGTTACAGGCTTCAGGACCCTTCTCAAGAGAAAAGCAGCAAAATCAGCTCATTTTGGACTTTAAAAGCATTTTAAAGTTAAGGGCAAACACTAAAAGGAAAGAAAGTGTGTAGCTTCCAAAAAGGCAAGCAGGGAGAGGAGGTGGAGGGAGCATTAGAATAAATTTAAAAAAAAAAAAAAACTCATTAAATAAAAAAAAAAGGGGAGGAAAAAACATAAGAAAAAAAAAAGAAACTAGAAAGCACAAAATGAGATGGAAATAAAACCAGTCATCAATCATGACTGTAGCAAATGCAAATGGATTAAATGTAGGAGAACACAAAACATATCTCAAAATATACCAAGGAATCAATATCATGTTGAGTATGTTCTGAGTAGAATGCAATACTACTTTTAATTTTTTTTTAATTTTATTTATTTATTTTTTTGACAGACAGAGTGGACAGTGAGAGAGAGAGACAGAGAGAAAGGTCTTCCTTTTTGCCATTGGTTACCCTCCAATGGCCGCCGTGGCCGGCACACCGCACTGATCTGATGGCAGAAGCCAGGTACTTATCCTGGTCTCCCATGGGGTGCAGGGCCCAAGCACTTGGGCCATCCTCCACTGCACTCCCTGGCCACAGCAGAGAGCTGGCCTGGAAGAGGGGCAACTGGGACAGAATCCAGCGCCCCGACTGAGATTAGAACCCGGTGTGCCGGTGCCGCAAGGCGGAGGATTAGCCTAGTGAGCCGCGGCGCCGGCGCAATACTACTTTTAACAGAAAGATATAAATCCCAAATTCCCAAACATTCTAAAGTTTTAAAATTAAGTAACTCAGACTGAAAAAAATCACAATGGATAACATAAAAGTTAAAAGTGAACAATAAATACATGACATCAGAATGTACAGGATACAGGAGTGGGCAATGAGGCAGAG